AGATCCGAAAGATTGCGGTCAAGACCACCACTGGACTATAAACACCCACACGCTCATTCAAGGTGTGGCGGATGTGATGAACATGACTGATGCTCTATTCATTGCTCTGTTCATTATTCTCCTGTTTTAATATTCCATATGCTGTACATATTCGCAATTCGAATATATACGTGCTGGTTGCCACTCTTCGCTGAATTCTGGATTTCTAGTTTGTCGGGTTGTACCGATATACGTACGAAACTTAATTACCACAATTTTGTAAGAGTTGACGAATGTTCTCCTCTACAGAGGCCGAGTCTGTTAGGGACCGTTTGTAATTGCACCTTTATAATATTCGGTGTGACGAGGTCACTGTGTTAGAATATGGGCTTGTATAGTGTTCCCTGTAGACACATGGTACCAGTACTGGGTCTCTTGTAGGTTCCAAGTCCCTGTCACTCAAGGAGGACGCAGTTGGCTTATTTTTGCTGCGATGTCGAATGTGTTTAAACGGCATATTTTTGTTTTTCTGGGCAAGGTGTAGAATTGTGGCTTGCTTTTGTTTGTTCCATTGGTGGATTTTTGACCAGCCCATCAATTAAATAACAGCTACTAGTAGTCCTTGTGTTCCAGTATGGCGTTAATTATCAACTGAGTGGCGAAGTGTATTTCGTTGGTGAGGACGAAAATCAAAAGTGATGGTAGTTGGCTGCGCGGTATCTGGTGGGTGCTAGTGCACGTTAAGTCCAAGCGCTCTGTTGAACGACTTCTGTCAGCGCCGCTGCAAAGTGTGGTCTGCAGAAAACGTGTTCTATCCAAGAGACCTTGGGGGCGTTAAGGTCGCCCACCAACACGGTAGATCACACCCAGAAGAACAGAGCGGTCCCGGGCAGCGAGATTTGGATCCATAGTGCATTGCAAAAACGTGAATGAGCGACATCGGGGAAGACGGTAAAGATGGACATGGCCGAATGTAAATATAAACAAGCCACGTAAGCCATCTCATGTTTTGAGTCAGCCTGGAAACAGAGTAGCCGTTTCAGAGAGATCTGATAAGGGTCAGGTTTCTGTTAGTGGTATTATGAACGGCCGCTGCAGGCAAGCTGAATGTTTAATATCGTGACGTTTGTTGAAAAGACTGAAGCGGTTTGCAGCATGGAATTCCAACACTGTCTCTGACGCCTTCGAAGGTGCAGGGTCGAGAGGTTTGCTGGCATAGGGTTCGGCCTATTTAGTGGCTATAGGCTGAGTTTGAGCCCGCGTCCAAAAGAACCTGTGTGGCATACTTGTCTCCTGCCTGCGTTGTTGGCTTCGAGAGCAGTTTTTCATTCGCAACGTTCTTCCCCCCTTGTGGTCCGAGTGGCACGGGTCTTCTACCTTTGGGGGACGTGATTCTTCCCCTCGTGAGCAAAACTATCGACCACTGTTGTTTGAAGATCCTTAAATATCACCTTTAGTGTGACTAGATATACTGTTGTTCAGAGATTCGGGCCAAAATGTATCTGTTCCGTTCCTTGGGCATTTCGGCGTGGTTTGATTGGTGAGCTGTTTCTGTGAGGTCCTGCGTGTTGGGTCGCAGCATCAAGAAGTATTCCTTTTGTTGGCGCAACCATGAGGCTCGCTTCGCAAAAGACTACACCACAGCTACCAACAGCCTTCTTATTTGGCGAAATTTGTATGGCCTGTTTCACCGCAGTTGCTTTTTCTCCGTGTTCGTGTAGACTGTCGAGCCGCCCTCGATCAGCTTAGCCAACTCGTTGTGTGAAGAGTTTTCCGGTTCGTTATTAGCGTCTTTGTGGTTTCGGATGTCAGAGTAATGAGCGGCGACTGTGCTCAGATTCACGTGGGCAAGCTAAAATATAACTGCTGAAGCTTACCAGCTAAGATGTTGGTATTAGAACTATGGTAACTCACGTGACTACAAAACGGCTTGAAAATCCCATGGAAGCAACACCTGAGGCTTAGAGTTTCTTGAGGCTACCAATCCTTAAGCAAAGCACTGCGCTGGCCGCTTCCAAGAGCCTGTCAAGAGTTGAAAACCTTCCAGGTATATTGTTAAGAACTAGTTGAAAGTTATCCATACATCTTTTTTCTCAGTATTCCAACATTGGGCCTCACATCACCACATAATTCACCAGGTGGCGCTCACCAATAGCAATTTTGTGTATTCAAGTATCTGCACGTGCTGAAAGTAAACGCAAAATGCACCAACAGGGTAAAGAAACGAAAGACAGCTTGTAGTGACGATGTGTCCAGTTACTGGCACTCTGACGATGATGCCGCTTAATATTTGAGCCTTCATGCGACCAAGGTTCAAAGGCGCCAGCCAAGGTGCCTCTTCCAGCTGCGATAAAACTTGGTCGAAACTGAGATAACCCACCGTAAAAAAGGTACACTAACTGGTTCAGAATGAGGTGTGATTCCAAAGACACCGGCCACGTCGGATGGGAAAACGTTATCAGGGACAGAATGTAGGCCGAAATCCACAAAAAATAGGGGATACCGACGGGCTAAACCGAAGAAGATGCAAAAAACGTGTAAGAGCAACTCCAGAGGGACAGTAAAGGCATTATCCCAAGAGTCGGTGAATTAACTGCTTAACGACTTCAGGACGACTGTTGCTTCAATGAAACACATTATTCAGGTGAATACGGTGGTCATCGAGGCTAGTATTGGTGAGGAACTGGGTATCAAAAAGGCTCTCGGGTAACTCAGACGAAATACGCACTTTTTCGTTGAGAGGCACAGTAGTTTCATTGTCCGTGAGATTACACGGCCCATATTGAGAGAGGACAGGAATCTATCAGTTATCACCGCGCCGGTTTACATAGTGGGGTCAACAAGTAAGTTCATTTTCGCATGCAGAAGCCGTTTCGGTTGTAAAGGTGAGGCGACGGATTAATCACTGAGCCTGACTGGCCATGACTGTCCCAAGTGGGTTCCGGGAACTCGCGGCAAGAAAACCCCTTTTAACTGCGGCTGAATATATGGCAGTGGCACAAACGAAGTTACTTTGGATTGCCTCGTCGAACAACCATTTCGGAAAGGCTCAATAGGCTCAATAGGCTGCTGATCTTACAACGTGCACAAAACGCAAAGACAATCACATCAATATACGTGCGCAGGATAAGCACCGTGATCCAACGGGCTTCACCCATAGCTAGTGTTGCTTGTGGTAGGAGATGCTTTGCTGAATTTTTAGCATGGTGCAGCCAATACTTGACTAAATGTTATTTGCAAATAGATAAGTTGGACAAAGGTTAGCTAATAGAGGAATCGACAGAATAACCCCAACAATTGAATGTAGATACTTAGTGGGCCAATAGGAAAAGTAAGGTGTAGGTGGATCATCCTACTTGTTGGGTTGAGTAAGCAAAAACAGAGGCCTTTTTGAATATCCAGTCCAGGGGCACTCGTAGCATTCTACATGGGAAATGGTGAAAACCGCGTCACCGTTCATGAATAATTTGGAAGAATGTTATTATGGCAGAACCACTAGCAACAGGCATCTACAACGTTATCCTTATCCCATCATTGGAAACCATTTTAAGTCATGCGTAGCTGCGATTGCTTGAGAGCCCAGCAGAAAAAGCAATGAAAAGCGAAAACTGGAGTGACTACCCTTTACGGTTGTACCGATTCAACCTAGAAATAGAAACATACTTCGCTAAAGTCAACGCCCATTTCTTACATCAGTCTCAGTGGGGCTTGCACCCCACCAAAGCTCACTCCATCAGCTAAACATAACACACTTTCCTGCAATGCCCCCCGGAGTATTCGCCTACAATAAATGAATATAAGAACGCAGTGAAATAGGTAATCCTTCGTTAACAGCAAACAAGGCTAGCATCTAAGTATTTCTAGCTTATCGCTGCATTTCGTCTTGTGCTGACAGCAGTGCTCCGGTGACTGATGACCCTTTTCCTTACGTTTTCTGTTCATTTCATACTATGATTCTGTTCAACTGGCGTAGCGAATTTCAGAAAAACTAGTCCATTATTTTGGACGTGTGTTTGCTGTCTCTTGTCATAAGTGGTTAAAACGCGAAGTTACTTACCGCTAGTTCCGTGATTCGAACCTGACCTCTCACTATCGGTTTCCTCTTTCTAAGTTGAAACAAATTGGCTGTATCTTGGTTCTTGTGCTTTCCTTCAGTGATATGGCTATTAGACACCTCAGGAATGCTAGCCGCTTGTTAATACAACTCAAACTCCAAGTAGTTTTTTT